GACGCCATACAAAATTTCAGAGTGATTCAATAGTCTTGATTTGACAGCAATTCGTAGTGAGAGTGTTTGATGTTTTCCGATACAATGAAAAAAGGACAATATCGATCCGTGATTCGCTTTTTATTTTTGGATGGAAAAACGTGCGAAGAAATAAAAATGAAGTTGGATGCTGTCTATGGGAACCCTTCACCGTTTATGACAACCGTCAGATATTGGTTCAACGAATTCAAACGTGGTCGTTCGTCTGTTTTTGATGAGGAGCGCCCAGGCCGCCCGGCAGACGTGGTTACTGAGGAAATCATTGAAAAAGTCCACGACATGATTCTCGCTGATCGCCGAACGAAAGTGCGTGAAGTAGCAGAGGCCATAGGCGTGTCGTATGGAACAGCATTCAATATTTTGCATGATAATTTAGGAATGAAAAAGCTGTCGGCCCGATGGGTGCCGCGATTGCTCACGGTGGACAACAAGCGAATGCGGCTATCAATTTCAAAGCAATGTTTGGAACTGTTCAAGCGCAACCCGAAGGAGTTTTTGCTACATGGATTCATTACTACACACCGAAGACCAAGGTATAGTCAAAACAGTGGATTTCACCGGCGAACGTGCTCCGAAGAAGGCCAAGACGATCCCATCGGCCGGAAAAGTGATGGCCACTGTTTTTTGGAATGCGCAAGGCGTAATCTTCATCGACTAGATGGGGAAAAGCAAAACTATCACGGGGCAGTACTATGCTGATTTATTGGGCCGATTCGATGTTGAATTAAAGAAAAAACGCCTCCATTTGGCGAAAAAAAAGTGTTGTTCCATGAGGACAATGCACCGGCTCACTCCTCCGTAGTCGCCACAGCCAAATTGGTCGAATTGTGGTACGAATTGCTGCCGCATCCACCGTACTCTTCGGATTTAGCCCCCTGAGATTTCTTCTTCTTTCCAAACTTGAAAAAATGGCTCGGTGGAAAAAGATTCACGTCGAATGAGGAGGTCATTGCCGAAACAGAGGCCTATTTTATAGAGTTCGACAATTTGTATTTTTCGGAGGAGTTAAAAAAATGGCAGAAACATTGGGAAAAGTATATCCTCCTAAAAGAGGATTACGTTGAAAAATAAAATAAAGTTTTGTGAAAATCTTGCGTCTTCATTACTAACACGGGTACTCATTGATTTGCCCTATATCAATTGATAATAATGATAATATTATATGTTGTCTCATATTATCTTTTCGATTGAATTAAGAGAAAGCAAGGCAGAAAGAGAGAAAGAGAGAGAGAGATTTTACGACTTTAAATATTACATATACAGAGTGTCCCAAAAAGGTCGGGACACCTAAATATCTCGGGAAATATAAGTTTTACAGAAAAGTGTTTCAGACAAAAGTTATATGGTTTAAAAATATCTATTTATTGATCCTATCAGTTTGACCTTGGGTTGCG